CAGGATCGGGAACGTTGGAAGCACTGTCTGACGCGTCTGCCTAAGCGACCTGAAAGGAGAAGCGGCGATGGAAGATGAAGATGATGAAAATGTGTAAGAATGCAAATCTTGCACTTAGTAATCTGAACCCAGAAGACATTGTTTATTCATTTAATTTAATAACGTTTAATTTTTATTTTAAATTTGATAAGTGGTGCGGTATCCCAATGGGTTCTCTTGTCAGTGTAGTCTTAGCCGAAATGTACATGAATCATCTGGATTCCAATGCCATATCTCTCTCTATTCACCTAACCTGAAACGGCCAAAACATTTAAGATATACAGATGACATTTTTATTTTGAATAATAATCCTAATCATTTTCACCCCTGTATATTTAAATAACAAAAATCAAAATAATGTGCTTAAAATTCACCTTAGAGCAGGAACAAAATAACCAGATGCCGTTTCTTGATATTTGAACTAAACCAGACGCCACTGTTACATTCTCCTTCACAGTATATAGAAAACCACAGCATTGAACCGATATCTTAACACTTCATCTTACAGTTCCAAATCTGTCTTCATCAGTATCATGAAATGCATGCATTTTAGGGCTTTAAGCTTTGCAGTGATGACGTCAGTAAAATCAAGCCCCTTTCATCTACTTTACTTAAAAATGGATATGCCAAATATTTAATGAACTCGGTATTTAAACGCCGCAAGTTTGACCCAGCACCTACTGAATGCAATTTCCCCGTTTCGATACCATACATATACAGGCATCTCGGAAAAAATTAGAGAATGTTTAAAAACCTATGGTCTTAATGTATTTTTCTGCAGGAGCAAAAGTTTAGGAAACCTAATTTACAAAAAAGTTTGATCCTCATCCCAGCCTGGAGAGCAAAAACATGGTCTATCAGATAGATAACTTGCAATAGCTGGGGCCAGATATACACTGGCAAAACCTGTCGAGCGTTAAAAACCAGATTAAGAGAGCACAGAAGAGCAATCAGATACCGTAACGCTGATCATTCTGATTTTGTTGCTCATGTACTGGAGAATGGTCATGATTTTAACAACAGCGATGAAACGGTTTTCGATCGACACCGGGACAAGCTGAAGTTATTAATCAAAGAGTCGCTACACATCGCTGCCGGTAAGAATCGAACTTGAAACGGTGGCAATGGCTACACTGACATTTCCGCGGAGCATGATTAATGGCTTAATCGCAGACCGAGCTAGCGTCGAGACAATCGCGTCATTTATCAACTGGCTCGGCAGTTTGTCAGTTTTTGTTATTTCCCTGATGAC